CTCTGTGACTATCATAAATAAGTAAAAGTTAAAAAAAATTAATAAGAGCCTTTATTCAGTAGGTGCTCTATTTACACAAACATTGAAATACCTTTATATGGTTTTACAACGTTTTCAGTAGTAAGGTTTTTCAAGAATTAAGGGTGGATTTTAGCATAGTGTTATATAAATATTTTCTTCAGTCTCCTGAATATGTTGTGATATATTAAAATACTACAGTGAAGAACAGTAAGTTGTGATTCTGTTTTTTTGAGACAAAGGAAGGAAGGAAAGAAGAGTGCAGAGAAAATAAGGAAGAAAACAGGGAAGAAGGAACAAAGTACAGAAGGAACCTAAAATATGGAGAATATTTGGAAAAAAATCCATTTTTGAAGAACTTGGTGTTGAAATCCATATTTGCAGTATTTTAGAAATAATCCTAGTATTAGAACTAAGTAAAGATGATTAATTAAAAAATGAATTAAATGTATAAAATATACCAGACCAAGATAACCATTAATAAAATTCCTTGGCACCTTTGATAATGATTTAGCTGCTTTAATGCATTTTATCTGCTCGTGGCCATGGTCTTAATGCAAGATGACAGCAACTTACGGTATTTGGTAGGTAAATGTGTCACTGACATTAAGGAACTGAAAATCAGCCTTTCCTTACGTCATGAAGGAACTGAGTGATGCGTTTTCTGCTGATTTCACCAGAAAGGGTGACTGACTTGGTAATTGTTCTCCTGCTTCTTCTATCAGGACATTTTCCTGCTGGTGACAGCTTCAGAACGTCCCTGAGAGTTTCACGTCAAAGGCGGGGGAAAGAACTAGGTCAAATTTGTCTTGAAATTGGCGAATTTAAGGTTGTTATCGATTCTGGGATAGTTGGGCACGTGTCTTCTGTCGCTGTCTTCCCTCCGGATAGAGCCGGGCACGGGGACCGTGCGATGCCCACGGAGCGACCTCGTGCCTGTGGAGGGAGCCCTGGTCCGAGCCCCGCTGCAGGATGACAGCTCCGGGGGACGTCCCGGGGTGGGGGGGCCCTAGAGCCCGCTTCTCCGTGGCAGGTGCGCAGAGCCTGGGCGTTTGCACACACAGAGCCGCGCTGGTCCTGGGCGCCCGAGGCGCAGTTCGCGTGTCCCCGTCCCCCACGGTCCCCACGGCCTCCGAGCCAGGCTGGCTCCCAACGCCCACAGCGCCCACCTGACTGAGCCGCTCCCGACGCCCCGACCCCCGCCGTCCTCGGGCGAAACCTGGACTTCGCCGCCTGGTGTCCAGCGGCCTCGCCATATGGCCCTGCTCGCGGCCAAGGTCTCCCGCGGCCTTCCTGCGGGCCTGCCCGCTCCCGGCCTGCGGGTGGCCTGCCGTCTCCCCGTGGCTCATGGTGGCCCTGGGCCCACAGTGGCCTTTCCCAGGTCCCTGATACGACTCTTCCACCGGGTACCCGGCATCTGCCCATCCTGGCAGGTGGCGTCCCATCTCCTGTTGGCTCACGATGGCCCTGGGCCCATGGTGGCCTTTCCCAGGTCCCTGATATGACACCTTCTAAGGTGACGGCTTGCAGACTGCAGCCTTTGCAGCAGGACGTTCGTCCCTGGGCCCTGGTCCTCGGCTCGTGCCCCTGCCGCCTGCACAGCCCCCCCCACCCCCCTGCTGGCCCTCGTGGAGGAGGGTGTGGACCTTCCCCCCCATGCCCCACCCGGGGTGCCAGGTGTGCTCGGGGTGCTGCTGCTTCAGGATCACCCTCCGGCTCTGCACCCCTGCAGTGCGGGCCCGGTGAACGGATGGGGAGGGAAAGGGTGGCCCCGTGTCCCCATGTGGCCTCCCGGCAGCACATCCGGCCCCGGGCACCAGGCCACAGCGACCGACTAGACAGCAGCCAGGAAAGGTCCCCAGGCCGTGGACTCGGGGGCCGATGCCCGCTGGCCCACCTGGGTCTTGTCCAGGGGTCATCCGGCTGCCCGTGGACTGGTCCTGTCTATGCCACGGGGTCCTGGGCTGGGGAGCGCAGAGCCAGGGAAGAAACCAGGAGGCGGCGTGGGCACCAAGTAGAATTAAAGTTACTCTGATTTAACTCCATGACGATGGGTAAGCGGAATGAGGGACTCATAATGCCAGGTTTCGGCTTGACTAATTAGAACAAACCTTGTAGCATTTACTTAATTAAAATCACAGGACAAAGGGGAAAAAAAGGAAAAAAAAGGAAAATCACAGGCCCGAGGATCTGATCTTGTATATTTTGAATTTAGATGCCCAGACGGAATAAAAAAAAGATGAAGATCTAGGAAAACTGTTTTTTTTGCGACATTTTGTAACTTAGTTCGAGATATCACTGAATTCTTGGGGCTAGATATAAAAAGGAAGCATAGGGAGCAAAATGACTTGGAAACAGTTTTAAGATCCTGGTAATACTGGTTTCTATTTCATTTGATGACAAGTGGAAATACATCTTTGCCTGACTTGTTGGTTTTCGTTGGTTTTACTATGTATGAAATATTTAAAGATACCATCTGCATTAACAAATGGAAGCATCTGGTCATATTTCAGTGTCAATAAATTTAGTCTCTTAAACTAATACTGGTTTGGGGGGTAAAATGGTGGTTCTGGTAAAGAAGCAATTGGCTTCACGTAATTTCGTATACATCTTCAGATTTCACGTCAATATGTAATCGGGGTGGCAAAATAATATGAAATCGAGTGTATTGCATTCATATTGAAATTTTAAGAGACATTCACATTGGAAGCAAGATTTTATACTTTACAATATACATATACTCAAAAGAACGACTCTCATTTTTTTGCAAGAATATTTGAAAATGCTCTGTATGTGCACAAATCTAATGGTCTCAGGCACAGAACATAGATCCACTTCAGAGACGTGTCATTTTCTTGCAAGGAGGAAGACAGAAGTAGGCACAAGTGCATTCTGGTTTTTCGATGTGGGTATTTTAGCGCTCTTCTTTATTCTGTGACATTACATAAAGTATTCCAGGCTGAAAACATTCCCACAGCAAGCCTGGATTTCAGTCAATCTGAGACAGAAACACAAACTGTGGGCCTGTTAAGTTGAATTAACTGCTTTACGGAAAATATTCAGTTTCCTATAATATTTTGGAATGGGGTTTTTGTGAACAGCCTGGTTACTTATGTTATCTTGGATGATTTCTTTCCTATGTATTTCCCTAAGACCAACATTTGCACAAAATAAATAGAGAAATTATCATCATGCTAAAAAAGAACTAATTTTCTCTCCCCCTTTTCTCCCTTCTCCCCAAGACAAAAAAAGAAAAATGATCCAGTTAAGTCACTTTGGAAACCATGGCGTAGTTTCCTGGTTACCTTTTACCGTGTCCTGTTTGAGTTCTGAAGCTGCAGATACGTGGTGATGGGGCCTTTACGTTTTGGGGGAAGAGAGAATGAATCCTATCATGTGTAGAGCGAAGACTCAGTAACCGCGAAGGGAGAACCATGTGATTTTACTAGATCATAGCATCACTGGGCTGATAGACTTGTTTTCACTATAATCATAAAATATCCATTCTTGGACTTAAGATATACCATGCTCATATTTTATTTTATTTTATTTTATCTTATTTTATTTATTTTATTTTATTTTATTTTATTTATTTTTTATATTTTATTTTTATTTTATTTATTTATTTTATTTTATTTATTTATTTTATTTTATTTTATTATTTTATTTTATTTTATTTTCCATGCTCATATTTTAATTCTAATTTTACAGTCCTTGTCTGTTATGGTAGATGTTGTTGATGATCTAAAAACCCTTTCCTTCAGCATCTCCCAAGCAGACCTATTTACTTGAATTATTACTGTAGAGTTTTCCCCTGGGGCCACTCAAACTAAGACCCTTTCTTGTCTTTCTAATGTTAGAAAATGAATGGGAGGGATCCCTGGGTGGCTCAGCAGTTTGGTGCCTGTCTTCTGCTCAGATCGTGACCCTGGGGTCCTGGGATCGAGTTCCACGTTGGGCTCCCTGCATGGAGCCTGCTTCTCCCTCGGCCTGTGTCTCTGCCTCCTTCTCTCTCTCTCTCTCTCTCTCTCTCTCTCTCTCGTCTCTCATGAATAAATAAATAAAATCTTAAAAAAAATGAATGGAAATGGCGTGAACAAATAGGTGGACTTCAAAAGAAAATGGTGGCTAAGGGGGAAAAACATAGTGTTGAGAATATTTAGATGGCTTAGATACAAAGGGGCAGAAATAAAATATTTGACATCTGTCTTTAAGTCTCGTCTTTGAGAAAGTCAAAAAATAGAGATCTTGCTTTACCAACGGCCTGTATCAAAGCTCTGGAGGGAAGTCGAACAAAAGAGTGAGCTATGCTTTCGTATTTTTGCCAAAGCAAAACAGAACAGCAGGTTTAGCAAGAGGAGATACTACCCTGTGAATATTTTTGCTAATATTTGAAATTTATATCAGAGCTACATTGGAAATGACCAAATTGAAGGAAGGCATAATTTGTGTTGCGTCTGGAAAGACTCTTTCCTTTCCCCCGTCGGAATAAAAGATGTGAAAATCTTGATCAGCTGCTGCGTTTGTTCTCAGAGAGCGTGAGAATGAATAGAAGGATGAGTTCCCTAAATGCTTCTCCATGGCAGTGGAAGTGGAACGAGAGTCTAAATAGATCAGCGCTTTCTAAGATCCTGTTTCATCTCCTTAATCGGGGCAGACTGTGCAGTTGGTTGGTTTAATTAGCCAATAAGCGAGGAGGGGCCCGTCCACCAGCCGCGGGCCTTCCCCGGAATGCCAGGACCCGAGCACTTAACTGATTACTAGCGATGTTGGTAGCTGACCTTGTCTGGCCACCTGTGACTCTGTCTTTTCAAAAAAATTACATGCTTTGCCATTGGCTTTTCTGTCAGGTGACTTTCTTGGACTTTCACAAGAAACATAATTAGAATTTTAGAATATGTGTCACAAGCCCTGAATTGAAATAGACTTAACCTGTAATTATTGGTTGACTCTACTGAAGCCAATTTTAATTTTATTTTCAGTCATACGTGATTTCCTCTGCTACACATGGGAGAGAAAGTGATCGAAGGACTCAGATGGCAACTGTATGATTGAAGCCATCTGAGGTCAAGCACCCGCGTGTTCTTTCAGCGGTGTCTGAGCGCTCCCAGGTAAGGGTAAGTGACCGCCTACATATTTCCCACCGTTTTGAAAAAACATTGGAGACTAAACAATGCTTTTATTTTGTACCAAATATTTAAAAAGTTAGTTTTATTGCAGAATATGATAAAATACATAAAAGCAAAATAAAATTAAAATCACAAATGAGCCTGTTTTTCTAAAAATAACTTCTTGGGGGTGGCCTGAGTGGCTCAGTCAGTTAAGTGCCCGACTCTTGCTTGACCCTGTCAGGGTCGTTATCATTTTGTTCATTTTGTTCTATATCATTTAACGTTTTGTTGGTTTTCCTCTTTAAACAAAGCTGGGAAATGCATTCTTTGTTGAATTTCTTTATTTTCCTAACAAATCTATTTTATTTTGAGAATACGAATTAATGTTTTATATTTTTCTTTGTATCTGTTTATATAGACAAATGATTTTAAAATATTGCTTAGATTGTGTTTATTATTCAGGTAATATCTTTATAGATAAGTTGGTATGTACATCACTTATTTCGCATTGGTAGAGTTAGTAAAATTAGCATCACTGGCTCAATGGCTATACTATTCCAAAGGCTTTTTATTATTTATGAACTTATCTCTAGAAAGTAGTAATGAGTTACAGTTTTCATTAACCGTTTTTGAAAGTGTTTGTTGATCTATGACTTAACACGTTTTCATTCAAAGAAATTCCAAAACAAAACCTGGTTTATGTTGAAGAAAAAATTCAAAATTAATATTTTAAATTTTACTTGTAAGTAATAGCATCCTCTGCTCCCATATATTCAGCCAGTATATCCCTTACATAACTAAGCACAAAAGCACATGTATATGCGTGGTCTTTCTACACTGTTTAAAAATACATTCCTTATAAATGATAGCAAATATATTGTATTCAATTAGTATTTATTGAAAGTTTATTATTGAAATAAGCCTAAGCACTATGATGGTTTGATTATTATTGGTGGTGGTGGAGGACATTAAGAGCAGGAAGGTCTAGAAGTATTTTCTTACCCCTTTTAATTTTCAATAAAATGGGGCAAGACGAGAAACGTATTTCAGTTCCTTAGGTAAAAGTAGAACGTGCTGGGTGCCAAGAACAGCTCACGGATGAGAGACCGGTTGAGTTGCACTTTTTAGAGTAGGTACAAGTGTGGCGGGCGCTCGTCTTACTGGAGGCCGAGGTGGAGCAGATACACAGTTGAGAAAGAGAGGCAGGTGGTCAGGAAATAGGGAAGATTAGGTGGGTACCGCAGGGTGATGGGCCGTACTTTGCGTATATGGATTTCTGTCCTTCGGCGTTTATGTTTCGCCATGTGTGATGAAGGAACAATTGCAGGGGAATGAGGTGGTCCATGCAGTCTTTTAAGGAGCTTGATACAGAAGTGACGTGTGCATTAGACTGGTGTAGGGAGAGCAAACCCAAAGGAAGGAGAATGATTCCTAGGCTTTTCCTTCCCTTTTCATCAGCATTTGTTAAATATCTGCTATTTGCCAGGTACTTGAGGAACTTGAGCAGCTGTAGAAAAAAGATGAAGACATAATCTCCATTCCTGAGGAGCTCGTAGTGCAGGGGATGAAACATGCAGGACCAGCCAATGAATACAGTACACCATGATAGTGTGACGCTTGGCTCATAGTTTGTAAAATGGTTTCATTTATTTATTGGAGAGAGAAAGAAAGAGAGACAGAGCACAGGACATGGGGGTGGGGGGCAGAGGGAGAGGGAGAAGCAGACTCCCTGCAAAGCAGAGAGCCCATCACAGAGCCGGATCTCAGGACCTTGAGACCATGACCTGAGCCAAAGGCAGGCCCTTAACCGAGCCACCCAGGTGCCCCTAATTGAATCACATTTTTCAAAAGACTAATTGGTAATTATGCAGAGATGCAGCTGCTAGATTATCAACTGATGGGATTTTCCCAAAGACATCAAATCTGATGAAGGTTACCCAGGAAGCAATGTTTCTAGACGTTGGAAGAATTCAAACAAGAAGCAGTAGAAATTTTATCTAGCCTGAGAGTAATGTCCATAAAAACCAAGGCAGTGCTTAAGTACTGGGAGGTTAAGGGGAGGGTCTTTTATGTGAGGCAAGAATGGCATGTTGATGGAATTAACAAAAATGGGGGAAATATGGGAAAAGTGAGATGTTTTTGTTGGTAAAATTATAGGTTTGGTTTCGGACACTGGGGATTTTTCTGTCCTCTCTCACTTCGTTTTGTTTTGTTTTGTTTTTTTGTTTATACTTCCATTGCAATTCCTTATATACAATTGAAGATTCATTTATTTATTACTTAAAGTGATTTGAATTTCCTTAAAATGAAAGTAAATGTACAATAAGGGAAAAAAACAAGTTACACCAAATAAAACATGAAATATGAAGTAAAGTTTAATAACCACTGTATATATAATTTAGCTCCAGCCTTTCCAGCGGTGGGAATGGATATATGTTCTTGCCCTAAAAGGTTAGCTAAATTTATTATAGGGTTCTTAGTGGAACGGACAGGAAAAGTGTCCTTACTACGTAGAGGTGTCTTAAATTTTGCATTGTTGAAAGGAAGGGAACACTGATGGTATCTAGTGCTAGGTCGGTCAGTTTGTGGAATTTAAGAATTCAGCTTCTCTAGGAAGTCTTTCCTGACTTCTGGGACCTGGATCAGATCCTTACTCTGCATGTTGTATTCCTTCACCCAGTTTACATTCCTGCGTCATACCATGCATTGTGGTCTTGCCTTTCGTTCCCGGAGACTCTACGATTCTTGAGGATGGGCTCCTCACTTATCATTACAGATATAGACTTAGATCTAAATAAAACCCACCACAATGTTAGTTTTATGGAGGATACTCCATAAATATTTCTTAAATGATAAATTGAATCATTTCTGTGGTTTGTGTTAATTATTGTTGACTTAGCTAGCCTTGATATTTTTGTGAACTCCGTGTTAGTTTTCTACTGCTGGATGATAAATCTCTTCAAGACCTAGCAGCTTGCTTGCTTGCTTGTTTGTTTGTTTGTTTGTTTGTTTATTTATTTATTTATTTATTTTAAGACCTAGCAGCTTAAAACAATCCTTACGCATTAGCTCATAGTTCCCGGGTGCGGTGGTGCTTCAGGCCCCAGGTCTGTCATGATGCTGCTGTCATGCTGTCAGCTGGAGCTGGTCATTGCAGAGCTCAGCTGGGGCTGAAGAGTCCACTTCCAGACTCCGCCATGGGGGGCGGGGGGGCTCTGTATAGGGCTGCCTCGTGATGTAAAAACTAGACAAGCAATCCAAGAGAGAGCACAAGTGAGCATGACCATGGAAACAACATTCCTTCACAACTGAATGTAGGAAGCGTCATTCCATGTGTAGTGAGTTGAGTGATGGCCCCCCAGAAACATATGTCAAGTCCTAACCTGTGGTACCTGTGAATGTGACATTTGTAAGGGTCTTCGAAGATGCACTTAAACTAAGGATCTTGAGTGCAAACAAGGATTAGCTAGATGAGCCGTAATAATCTACTGACGTGTGGCCTTAGGAGAGGAGAAAACCCCGTGAAGACAGAGGCAGGGCTGGCGTGATGCCGCCACAAGTCAAGCAGTACCACCGGGAGCCACCAGAGACTGGAAGAGGCAAGGCACAGACTCTCCCTGTGAACTCCTACGGGCAGTGTAGATTTCCTGACCCACCTTGATTCCAGTTCTGGCCTCCGAAACTATGGCACAATAAATTTCTGTTGTTTTACGTCACCCAGGTTGTGGTTATTCGTTGTAACAGCCACAGGAAACTACTAAAGTACTACTTCCGGAGTCTTCGGTACTTTAGAAGTGAGTCGTAGGTCCAGCCCACATTCAGGGCGGGGGATCGGGGAAGGGCATCAGTGTCAGGAGGCAGCTCGGAGGCCCCTGTCCCATCAGACTTCTAGATCCTTCCATTTGTTTGGTGTATCTGTGGAGATGGACCCACTTCAACAGGTCATCCCACATTCTTTGAAATCCTGTCTGATTAGAATTCTACCCCTCTGATCGTTTGTTATTCATTTCTTTCTTTTTTTTTTTATCCATTTCAATAGTCAAATTGGAAAACTTAGAGTCAATCTGAATCCTTTTTGCATTAATATGCATTACCTGGAGTTGGTTAGCCAGTCTTTTTCATCCCATTCCTTAAATTTTTCTCATTTATCTCCTTCTCTGCAATCTCTCTTCCACTGATTACTGGCTTCTATTATTTTTTCTAAACTAGCTGAATAGCTGCGAAGCTGTCAGACTGTTTCTGAGCTTTCCCCCTTCAAACCTTTCCCTGCAAAGAGGCTTTTGAAAACTCAAATAGGATTATGCTGCTCCCTTTATGTAACATTCTCAGGAAATAGAAGACCCTTGTGATCTGAATCTTGACTTTATAAAATTCAAGCTTCATCTTTAATCATTCCTTAATATAGATCAATAAAATTTCATAAAATTCTCCAAATATATTGTGTTCTTGTATTTTTGCTTGCCTTTGTCTCATGTTCTCTTTCTCCCCTAATGAAATAGGTGTTTGGTTGTTTTTGCAACTAGCAGAGTGTCTAATATCATGACTAGGCCAGAACAGGTTTTCATCTGTTGTCAACTAATGTTGTTGAAGACAGTTGAAGACAGAAGAGGCCTGACATCAGTAAAATGGCTAAATTTACAGATTAGCCTAAGATGGGAACAAATGAAAGAGAAAGAGAAACGGTGGACTAATCATGCGGGAAGACTGGGAAACATAGGGGTAGGTGAAGGCTCACGCCTCTTCCCTGTAAATGTGCGGAAGTAGAAAGTCAAGCATGTGGGACAGAAAGGGAAAGGTTAGTGTTTGGGATCACAAATGAGGCTAAGATTCCACGGTGAGCATAACGTAGTTTCTAGGTTTTCGGAGTATAAAGAGCCGCCTCGTCATGGACATTACGGTCTACCAGGTGGAGAGTGTGAGGAGCGACGGGTAGCCATTCAAGAGAGAGGAGCAGAATGAAGATGACAGAAATGTAACGCAACGTGAAGAAAGTAGCAGAAAGGAGC